AATACTCCTAACAATCATTACTGTCTAACAACACTCTCTTAACAATCATTACTGTCTAACAACAATAACAATCAACTATGTTAAATAATTCAAACTGGGTTAAACCCTTTGAATAAATTTTTAACATCATACTAAAAGTTTAACATAATCAGTACTAACTAGGTTTTTCAGGGTTTTTTGGGGAAAGGGAAAGGTACAGGGTGAGCGTGGTTGCCAACGGCGGGGGCCAAAACCATAAGACAATCCTATTGTAAATTTACCACGGAGATAGAGGGAGATTTGGGCCCCATGGGGAAGATTTTTTTTAAAAATATATTTTTTTAAATTCTTTAAACACAAGGGCCTCGAGAAAGGAATAACCAAAGGGCTACATTACCCTTCATAGCTTATAAACAACAAAAAGCCCCTTGGGCCATAAACATTTTTTAATTTCAAAAAACATTTAATTCAAGGGGGGAAGATTAGGTTAAAAAACAAATTTCAAAAGGAGGTTTTTAAAGAATTGAAAATTTTAACTTCTATTTCCCAAACCAGAAACCATTAAAATGATTAATTTACAATAAATCGACCTAAGGGGTTTTTAACAATTAAAGTTGAAAAATCCAATTTTCCCCCGGGTTAACAAATCAAAAAACAAGTGTCTAGAATAAAAAATTTAAAAAGGGCAAAAACCCTCTAACAATAAACGTCTAACCAAAATAATTCACAATTAGGAAAAAGCCCCAAAAAAATTATGTTACAACACAATCCATTAACCCAAACTTTTGTAACAGCCATCAGAAAACAACAGCAACCCGTAAAATCAAAAAGAAAAAAACCCAAAATCCCGGGAAAATATTAAAATCAAAGATTCAAAGAGTTTAACAGAAGGGTCAAAAACCCAAACAAGGGGGGGCAAAAACCAATCTAACACATTGCAAAAACCCAAAAAAAGTAAAATTTCAAATGGGTAAACCCCTTAAATATTATCCAGATAACATTAAGTATTAGAAAGGAACAGGGCGTATTGCCCCTAAAACATTTTAATTTAAATATCGAAACAGGAATTCCTAAAAGAAGAGGCAAAATGTACCCCAAAGCCTTTAAAAAAAGACAACATTACTAATCAGGAAGTTGGCCCTTTTAGTTTCAAATTGGACAGATACGATAAGAGTGGTAACACCAAAAAAATATCTATCACGCACCACATTTAAACACGGAAACCCCCACAAACCACTGGATCAAACAACAACAGTTAAACAAAAAAGGGGGTTAAATCCATTAAACTGCAAAACCCACAAAACCCAACACGAATTGGTCAAAAACAGGCAAACAAAACAAAACACACCACAATATCAAAATATGTAAACAACACAATAAATACTGGCTACATCCAAAGGCACTGTAACAGCATCCCAGGGTAAACCCAAACCAGTCCTTTTTCGTATTTGTGAACGAAAACCCAAGAATAATTTGATGCCCTTTCCAATAGGGAAGTTAAAAAAACATCAATGGACAGGCAAATCAAAGGGAACAACAGGCTCAAAGGGTCCACAATTTCGGAGTGTAACCCCCCAACAAATCATGAACGAGGGAACATAAAACCGACAACAGTACACGGGGCAAACACAAACCCACTAAAACAACTTGGGCTATATAACACCAGCACATCTCCTGAACCCCACAAAACCCAAATAATCCCGCATATCCCTAGCAAACCCAAAACCACATTCCCAACTAAAACAACCAAAACCCCCACCCCCAAACAACCCCATAAATACCAAAACCATAACCCACACACAAACACTAAAACCAGAAAATAAAAACAACAAAACAAACCCAACAAAACCACAAATAAAAATCAACCACACACAACAAAATAAACATATAACACCATACAAAAATACGAAGAATTAAAAAAACCACAAAAACAATTTTCCAAAATACACAAAAAAAGGGACACAAACCTAAAACACCAAAACACAAAAAAAACTACCACATACAAAAAAATAACAAAATGAACAACCACAACAAACAAAACATAAAGCAACCCAAAAAACCTAAACATACATAAAAAACCCCAACTCACCACCCCCAACCCAACCTAAACAACATATACACACACACACACACACACACACACACACACATACACACATACCCCACACACACTACACACACAAAACCACACACACACACACACACACACACCCCACACACACACACACCACACACACCACAACACACATACACCACACACACACACAAACCACACACACACACATATACACACACACACCACACCCCACACACACACACACCACAAAACACACACACAACACACACACACACAACACACACAAAACCACACACACAACACACACACCACACACACACACACACACACACACTCACACACACATACACACATACACACATACACCAGGCACATCTCCTGAAGCGCACATCAACCAAATACTGCTGCAGCATAGGGGCGCCTAGCAAACCTCAGAACAGCTTTCCCGACTTCTTAATAAGGAATCGTTCAGGACCCTGTACACCGTAACGTTAGGCCCATATTGAGTTGCGCACCAGTTTGGAACCCCACACCTAGCAAGAAGAAAAGAAAATGAAAATTTTGAAAAGGGGACCAAAAAACTACACACAACACACACACACACAACACACATAACACATACACACAACACACACACAAAACACACACACACCCCAACAACACATACACACACACACACATACACACAACACACACACACACACACACACACACACACACACACAACCCCACACACCCCAACAAAACAAAAACACACACACAAAACACACACAACCACACACACAAAACACACACACACACACACACAACACCACACAACACTTTTTGGTCTGACAAGAAGCCTACAAGAATAAAAAAGAAGCTAGAGCATCAGGCGCATATAACAGGAAGGGCACTGCAATGGATCAGAGAAACCTGACAGGGAGGGAACAACGAGTCATGGTACGTAATGATGATCACAGTGGGCAACCCGTGACGACGGGGTCCCACAGGGTCGGTCCTAGGACCATGCTATTTTTGTATATGTGAAACGACATAGGAAGGGTTAGACTCAGAATTGTCCCTGTTTGCAGATGATGTGAAGTTAATGAGGAGAATTAAATCTGATGAGACCAGGCAGGACTTTAAAGAGACCTGGACAGAAATGGACACCTGGGCCAGCAAATGGCTTCTCAATTTAAACCTGCCAAATGCAAAGTCATGAAGATAGGGAAGGGCAACAGAAGACCACAGACAGAGTATAGGCTAGGTGCCAAAAACTTTCAAACCCACTCAAGGAGAAAGATTTTTGGGTGAGTATAACACCGAGCATGTCTCCGGAAGCACACATCAATCAGATAACTGCTGCAGCATATGGGCCCTGGCAACCTGAGAACGCATTCCGAAAACCTTAGTAAGGAATCATTCAAGACACGTACACCGTGTATGTCAGGCCCATACGGAGTATGCACACCTGTTTGGAACCCCACTTGATAAAGCACGTCAAGAAACTAAGAAAGTACAAAGGTTTTCAACAAGGTTAGTTCCAGAGCCCAAGGGAATGTCCTATAAGAAAGATTAAGGAAATCGGCCTGACGCACTGGAGGACAGGAGGGTCAGGGGAGACATGATAACGACATATAAAATACTGCGTGGAATAGACAAGGTGGGGCAAGGACAGGATGTTCCAGGGAGGGACACAGAAACAGAGGCCACAATTGGAAGTTTAAGACACAAATGATCAGAGAGATAGGTAGGAAGTAAATTTTTTCAGTCATAAGTTGGTAAGGCATGGAAAGCCTAGAAAAAAGACGTAGTGGGGGCAGGAACCATTACACAGTTTTTAAGACGAGGTTTGATAAAGCTCATGGAGGGGGAGAGAGAGGTCTAGTAGCAACCGTGAAGAGCGGGGGCCCGGAGCTAGGACCCGACCCCTGCAACCACAAATAGTGAGTACAAATAGGTGAGTACACACACCTCACACACACCACACACATACACACATACACATACACACACACACACACACACACACACACACACACACACACACACACACATACAAACACACACCACACACACACACACACACACACACACACACACACACATACAAACCCCACACACACACACACACACACACACCACACACAAACCACAACACATAGCACAGCACACTACAACTATATAACCACACTACATCACACCACAAAAAAACTACAACACGACTGCAACACCACCACAAGAACAACACACTGCACAAAACACCACACCAACACCATACTACAACACCACACCACAAAAAAACTACATCAACACCAAACCTACAATACCACAACTACAAAAAACACCAATAACCCACTACAACACACTAAGAACACCACTACAACACCCCCGAGAACATCACCACTACAACACCACACCAAGAACACCACCACCATACCAATACCACCACTACAACACACCAACCCACTACAAAAACACCATTCCAACAACACTAACAACACCACACACAGACAATAGCACCACTACAACACCACACTAACATCACCAGTACAACACCATCACTACACCAACAACAACATCTCCAGCATCAACAAGGGCGCGCCAGCTCCCAGCATGGCAACAGCAGCACCAATCAATGTTTGTTTGTATCGCTCTCCACGTGCGCGCGCTTCTCACTTCCCGCCACTTCCACCTCCCCAGTTCCCGCCATTTCCACCTCCCATTGTTTTTATTCCCTCTAAATCGCACTATTCGCTTTCTCTAACCATTTTAGTGTCTCACATACAAGCTTCTTGGTATATAGAGGAGCTACAGAAGTTTAAAGTCCCTGTCGGTGAGAAATTAGAGCAGGAAAGAGAGATAAATATTCCAGACGCGGTAACTGTGACGTCACCCAATCAGCTGACGGACCCAAACACCGACGACGCAGCAATTTCGTCTGGCAGTGTTACGCCAGAGTTACAGTAGGGTGGATGTTTGCTCGTGTCGTCTCGTCTATAACACGCGCCTCGTTACTAGACTCTCGAAAGGACATGACAGGCACACCTATTGCCTGCTAAAGACAGTATCTGACATTAGAAGAGTTGGAAAGGCTATATACCCGAGGGAAGGCTTTTAACTGAGTGAATACTTTCACTGTGTTTAGTATTTAATATTATATAACCCAGCGTGAAGGGATTATACAAAGGCTGTCTAAACTTACTGTGCGAAAAAAATACCCAAGCGCTTTCGTGTAGACGCACACATCTTCAAGGAAATTAATATTTATATATATATTATATATATTTTATATATATATATATATATATAATATATTATATATAAAATATATATATATATATATATATTATATTATCCACTTAAAATTACATATCTACAGATACTGTGAGATAAAACTAAGAGTAAATCTCGAACTGAACAAGTTGAACATTGTATCTCTTCACTTAGGGGAAACCATCGAGGAACTGCCCTTCATTGGGCTCTTGATCCAAGGAATCGGAGCTACACTCTTCAGACCAAACCCGACTGCTTCCCAATTCCCTCCGCAGCGCTGCATTGCCCTTACGGGTTAGGTGCTTAACCATTAACAAAAGTATTGTGTAGCAGAATGAACAAGGATAGATGTGCAAATATTGATGTGAACAGACAGCTGAACATTAGGTAATGTGATGAACGTTCACGAATTAGCAATTAATGTTAGTGCAGTGTTCATCTGGCATGGGCGAGTTTTGAACAGTGAACAGCCAATTTTACAAGAACTGAACAGGTAACAGAGATGTGTACGAATGGTATATAATACCGACAAGATGAGAGTAAGACATATGTGCAACATCTGGGTATCTTTATTGTAGACGTTTCGCCATCCAGTGGCTTTATCATTACAAATTCTAGGACATAACTTGAAGACAGTAGAACTATGTACAGAAGATGAGGTAATCAGTCCCTCAAAGCCACTGGATGGCGAAACGTCTACAATAAAGATACCCAGATGTTGCACATATATCTTACTCTCATCTCAGGTAACAGAGATGTTCGAAAGTGTTGAACAATGTACCTCTGTGATTTAAAGTACAAACACTGAAGTACGAACAGGAAGGACGTACAGACGTTGAACGTACGAACAGGAGGACGTACAGACGTTGAACGTACGAACAGGAGGACGTACAGACGTTGAACGTACGAACAGGAGGACGTACAGACGTTGAACGTACGAACAGGAGGACGTACAGACGTTGAACAGAGATGAACAGACATTGATCAGGTTATAGAACAATGATATTAATGCTATTATTACTATTACGACATTCACTCAAGTCTGATACGAGGAAGCGAAAAGTAGCTCCAATTCTTTGGATTAGAAGCCCTCCGTTGAAGGGAGAACCAGAGTCTGGAGTGATACATCAACCATGCACACAACCAGCACACACAGTCTGATACATCAGCCATGCACACAACCAACATCCACAGTCTACTTGAACAAGTCTTACACAGTGGCTACAAATGTGCATGACTGTACAGAGGCACAATGTACATGACTGTACAGAGGCACAATGTACACGACTGTACATAGGCACAATGTACATACCTGTACAGAGGCACAATGTACATACCTGTACAGAGGCACAATGCACATGCCTGTACAGAGGCACAATGTACATACCTGTACAGAGGCATAATGTACATGACTACAGAGGCACAATGTACATACCTGTACAGAGGCATAATGTACATGACTACAGAGGCACACTACATGACTGTACAGAGGCATAATGTACATGAGTGTACAGAGGCACAATGTACATGAGTGTACAGAGGCATAATGTACATGAGTGTACAGAGGCATAATGTACATGAGTGTACAGAGGCATAATGTACATGGGTGTACAGAGGCACAATGTACATGAGTGTACAGAGGCATAATGTACATGGCTGTACAGAGGCACAATGTACATGAGTGTACAGAGGCATAATGTACATGACTGTACAGAGGCACAATGTACACAACTGTACAGAGGTACAATGTGCATGCCTGTACAGAGGCACAATGTAAATGACTATACAGAGGCACAATGTACATGACTGTACAGAGGCACAATGTACATGGCTGTACAGAGGCACAATGTACATGGCTGTACAGAGGCATAAAGTACATGAATGTAGTGGCACAATGTACATGACTGCGGAGGCAGAATGTACATGACTGTACAGAGGCACAATATACATGAATGTAGTGGCACAATGTACATGACTGCGGAGGCAGAATGTACATGACTGTACAGAAGCAGAATGTACATAACTGTACAAAGGAACAATGTGCATGACTGTACAGAGGCACAATGTACATGACTGTACAGAGGCACAATGTACATGACTGTACAGAGGCACAATGTACATGACTGTACAGAGGCACAATGTACATGACTGTACAGAGGCACAATGTACATGACTGTACAGAGGCACAATGTACATGACTGTACAGAAGCAGAATGTACATAACTGTACAAAGGAACAATGTGCATGACTGTACAGAGGCACAATGTACATGACTGTACAGAGGCACAATGTACATGACTGTACAGAAGCAGAATGTACATGACTGTACAGAGGCACAATGTACATGACTGTACAAAGGAACAATGTACATGACTGTACAGAAGCAGAATGTACATAACTGTACAAAGGAACAATGTGCATGACTGTACAGAAGCAGAATGTACATAACTGTACAAAGGAACAATGTACATGACTGTACAGAGGCACAATGTACATGACTGTACAGAGGCACAATGTACATGACTGTACAGAGGCACAATGTACATGACTGTACAGAGGCACAATGTACATGACTGTACAGAAGCAGAATGTGCATAACTGTACAAAGGAACAATGTGCATGACTGTACAGAGGCACAATGTACATGACTGTACAGAGGCACAATGTGCATGACTGTACAGAGGCAGAATACATGACTACAAACGTAAAATGTACATGAGTGTACACAAGAGGAAAGGATATAAGTGTACATAAGTGGGATGTACATTAATAGCATGTACACGATTGTACACACTTCCTAGATCAATACAGCCACCTAGCCGAGGTGTCTTGAGGAGCTGATCCGAGGAACTGGATCAACACCTCTTCCTCGGATCAAACTTTGTCTACCTCCCAGACGCTGTATGGGGCCCCTACGCATTTACAGCTCCTCCACCTACACGAGTCACCTGGTAACATATGAAGGTGTAGGATCGAACACCTGTTTCCAAACACGTGTCCAGACCCCTGATTTTTGCTTTTAAAAACACCTGCATAGAAACACCTGTTCTCTAACACCTGTGTTCTCTATTTTTGGCACAATTTGTGCACCAGAAATTGGAACAGATTGTCGTTGACTGACGTTGTCACTGACGTTGTGACGTCAGTGACGTCACAACGATCCTGGGTGACACATGCCATGTATACGTCTACAATGTATATTAGCCTAAGTGTTTATATACAATACTGATGTCAGTGAGTTTATATTAATGTGATGTCACCTGCTTGCCTGTTTAGGTGACGTCAGGTTCATGTTCAGGTGACGTCATGTTCGTTTTCAGGTGACGTCATGTTCGTTTCCAGGTGGCGTCATGTTCTTGTTTAGGTGACGTCATGTTCGTATTCAGGTGACGTCATGTTCGCGTTTAGGTGACGTCATGTTTGTGTATAGGTGACGTCATATTCGTCTTGTTTATTTACATATGTGACGTCACATCACTGTTTACTCGTGTGACGTCATATGCTTTGCTTCTTATCTGGTGACGTCATATCACTTGTGATGTCACTCCATTATTTGTGTGGCATCATAGTCTTGATTGATTTTTTGTGACGTCACACTGTTTACTTGTGATGTCAATTTACTTGTGACGTCACATTATTTGCTTGTGTGACGTCAGTGCTTACTTGTGACGTCATATTCTTGTTTGTGACGTCACTATAGTTCGCTTGTGTGTGTCGCCATATTTGTTGTGTATTGTTCATTCTACCATCCCAGGTCCTCCCATTGTTCTACCATCCCAGGTCCTCCCATTGTTCTACCATCCCAGGTCCTCCCATTGTTCTACCATCCCATGTCCTCCCACTGTCTACCATCCCATGTCCTCCCACTGTCTACCATCCCATGTCCTCCCATTGTTCTACCATCCCAGGTCCTCCCATTGTTCTACCATCCCAGGTCCTCCCATTGTTCTACCATCCCATGTCCTCCCACTGTCTACCATCCCATGTCCTCCCATTGTTCTACCATCCCAGGTCCTCCCATTGTTCTACCATCCCAGGCCCCCATTGTTTTACCATCCCCCGGCCCTCCATTGTTTTACCATCCCATTTCATTGTCTACCATCCCATGTCCCTCCCACTGTCTACCTCCCATTCCCCCATTTTCACCCCCCATGTCCCCCACTTCACCTCCCTGTCCTCCCATTTTTCTCCATCCCCATGTCCCCCCATTGTTTTACCATCCCAGGGCCCCCATTTTTCTACCTCCCCGGGCCTCCCCATTGTTTTTAAACCCTCCATTCCCCCCCCTTTTACCATCCCATGTCCTCCCATGCTACCATCCCATTCCTCCCCTGCACCCTCCCATGTCTCCCCCTGTCTACCCCCCATGTCCCCCCTTTTCTACCATCCCTGTCCCCCCCTTTTCTACCATCCCATGCCTCCCCGTCTACCATCCCATGTCCTCCCATTCTACCACCCATGTTTCCCCCCACTGTCTACCCTTTTCCCTGTCCTCCCCTGTTACCCCTCCCATGTCCTCCCATTTTCTACCATCCCCTGTCCTCCCATTTTTCCATCCCCCGCCCCCATTTTCTACCATCCATGCCCCCACTGTCACCCTCCCCTTTCCCCCCACGTCACCATCCCCTGTCCTCCCACTGTCTACTCCTGTCCTCCCAAGTCTACCCCCATGTCCTCCCCCCTGTCTACCTCCCATGTCCCCCCCCTGTCTACCTCCCATGTCCCCCACTGTCTTCCAACCCAGTCCCCCCCATTTTTCCCTCCCATGTTTCCCCCCTTGTCACCCTCCCAGTCCTCCCCCTTCACCCATGTCCTCCCATGTCTACCCCCCAATTTCCCCCCACTTCAC